AGACCCCATCTGGGCGCGGGTTAAAGGTAGTGTGCCAGCTTTCCTGGACCATATGGAGTTAATGACCCGGATAAGGAGAACCGAATTTTTAGAACACATCCATACCTTCAAAACTCATGGAGACGTCTTAAATTCTTCAAATTCTGAGTACCCCAGTGCGAAATTCGCCCCGACGGGTTGTCGGTCGTACCCCAACCATATTTCACACCACTATGAACAATAAATGCACACACTAAAATCGCTATTACTGATAGGCTCATCCAATCAAGTTTCGATAAACCCGTTCATCATCATCTCCTGCGGTTTCGAACACGCCTGTTAGGTGGCTTCTGATGCTCGTCGAGGTCGGAATTTCCAAATACGCTGCTCATACTTTGTGGTGCGTCGGGCCGCGCGCTCTGACTTCGGCCAAGAAAAATGCGTCAGCTGATCATTGTCATTTCTGTCACTTTCGTGTGGTGAAATGGGGTCATAATTTAAGAGACGGCTGTTTCATATCAATTATTTTACATAAAATCATATTTCAAACCATAAATTAATGTTCGACAGCCAAATTAAAGAAACGATACCAATACAGGCTTACAGTTTAAGTTCGACATTGTGTTGTCTACGATTAGACAGCTGATAACTCATTCCCGTACGTCGTAACTCTATAATGACCTTTGCTTATTATTGTCACATGTGCGCCGCATTCGCGATTATTGCCGACGCCTGTTTGCAGGTCAGCCCACTACAGTTGTTATACATATCGAAAAACCGATAAACTTTTAGGCGAAAAAGGCACTATTCCAGGCCCATTTTTGATTTTTTTTTGCGATATTAGGTAAAAACAGAAGCTTCTTATCCTAGGAAAAATAAAATGGGAAATCTTTGAAAGGTGGCACACTACCTTTAATTGTTTACCTTAGGTCAAATCTGAGAACGTCACTCAGAAACCTTCCAGGTTGTGGGGGGATTCCTCCCTTAGTTTTTTCGATATATCTCCAGAATTGCTGCGCCGATCGTCACCAAACTTTCAGTACCCACCCGTGAATAGCTTTTACACATTGTGACCAAACATTTTTCCAAAGGCTATGATAGGTTGGTCGCTAATGACGTCGGAGTGACGTCATGTCTGCCATTTTCGACTCAAAAAAGGTTTCGCGGGAAGAGCTGTCAGGCCTACAGCTTTAGAGATACAGGAAAATGTTTCAACATAAAAGGCGTAGAATTAACAGGGCTACAAAACTGCTATCTCGGATTTTTGATTTTTTTTTTTGGTTTTGACCACTAAAAATAAAAAACATTGAAGATAATAGATAAAAAATCCAAAAAGTTTTTGAGTTCCGAAAAAACGGTATATATGTGATAGTCCCTACCGCCTTCTATCCACATACCAAATTTGAGATCGATACCTCTTTTTTTGGCCAAGTTATTGCGAAGAAACTTCAAAATTGATTACGTCAAATTTTCAAACTCAATTTTTAGCAATTTTAGACCACGTAGCGCAAAACAAAGATCACCATTAGACTCCCCGTGACGAGCTGCATCGAATCAATACCCATTTTATGCAAAACTATCAACTTGGAAATTTGACCTTTTTGACCTGACCTCCACCAGAAAGCGACCTAAACCGTACCTGATGGTCTTAGAACCAACACTATTGAGCTGGAAATGAAAAATTGGTCATAAAACCTGCATCGAACAACCTTAGTGAAGTTGGGTTCATGTGCTGACCCTTGGTGACCTGACCTCTGACCTGACCTGGTATTATCAGTGACCTCTAATAGCAACATATGTACTAGGCAACTGACGCCTTGTCGCTGATTTTCGACAAAATGCGTTTTACTCGATGTTATGGCGCATTCCCTAGAAGACCCGTGAACGGTGAAATATTTTGTGTTTGACCTGACCTGTGACGTCATCGGTGACCCCAAGGTCAAATGAAATTTGGTTTCCTTCGACAAAGTTGACAGGGCTATCGAATGCTGTTTGCATTTTGCGGATCCATCCAGTAGTTTCGGAGATAGGAGGGGGGGGCAAAAAATCCCCCCCCCCCACCGCGCGGAAGGTGGCCGCCGGGTGGGTAAAGAGCTATAGAATGCGTTTTTCTACGGCGCTGTAGCTCTATTTGCTCCCGAGTTATGCGTTGATTTGCTTAACAGTCAGATTGACAAAATTTGACCTTTGGTGACCTGGTGACCTGTCACATGACCTTTGACTTGGCCTAAATTTGGCCCAAGTATTCTTGACTTTTTTGCGTTCCTTCAAATGCGCTTATCGCTTGTCGCTACATGGCCCAGGAGCTGAGTTGGGCGGAATGTTCAACCCCCTCCCCCTCCTGGCCGGGCGCCGGTGCAGTGGTGGGCCCGGGGCGGCTTTATAGGGTTTGAATGCGATGTGCCGCATGTTTCCGCCTCCCGTTTGGCTTTCATCTCACGTGCAGGCTCTAAAAGAGATAAGGCAGGGTGCAGCTCAGTTGACCAGCGCTAGTACCTACCCGGCGTAAAAGCCATCACGGGGGCTCTACCAGCCACTCTTACAGGCACAGACGCATTAGCCGCTCCCACCAGCCGGGCTCTAACTACTGCCAAGCAACGGTATGTGCATTACCGGTGTGTCTGCTTTAATTGATTAAAATGAAAACTGGTGTCATCTGCCTATTGTTAGAATATTAGGGATTGGGGAGGATGGAGCTCATGGATGAGGCTGCGGTCCCGCAAATACTTTATGGTCAACGAATCTCGGCCATTGTGTTTTCTTCCTTTTGGTCTCTGAGAAATTTATCGAAAACATTTGAAATGATAATTCAACCACCAACAAATTGTTATGATCATTTTCCTTTGAGATTATCCCGTACAAAATACAAACAACCACAAATTTCGTGACTGGGGTCCACCCATATCTACAGGGTGGGGCAGCATAATCGGGAATGCTTTTTGGGCTCTGATCATGAGTAGGCATGGCATTATTTTTATAAATTATATTATGGCAATGAAACGCCCAAAAGTTGTGCATCATCTGACATGACTACATCCATGAGCATGCAACTTCCTGGAAAAGAGCAGCAAAATAGTTCGACGGTGCTCCAAGTGCTTTGCGCGCGCCCATAGACACTAATGTTAAACAAGTAAAACAAGAACATTTTGTTTAAAACCCTGCAATTCCACGTAAAGGTTGCTGGGCAGGTCAACGTGTTATCACGGACGATAAGGATTGTGTGGGGATACTTAGGACAACAGGTTAACGTAATCGTCGTAAAATAACTCTTAGCAGAGGACATACAAGATGACTCACTTGAATATAAGGAAGAAGCACTTGAGCATATTAAAAAGAAACAATGTTCAAAACTTCAGCGACAAAAAATCTTATCACCGACTGGAATACGATAAAAAAGAATGGCATGCCATATAGGGGATTGTATCGAGAATATTCCAGCGGTCATGCAAAGTAAACATCATGTTGGGGTGATGGACCTATGGGTGGTCTTCAAGGGAGGTGCACGTGGTGCACCCTACTTCATCGAGCCCGGATAAAATGAGCACCTCTGGTAAATACAACCGCACTCTGGCAGACTCACGTGGAGCCGTCGGAAGAGAGGATCACTGACGGTCCAAATCACGTCTTACGAGGACTCTGTCCGTGCTGGTACTGCAGTGAGGACGACATGTTATTGTGTAGGGCACCTCCACCTGAGATGAACCAAAAACTTCTGGTCCTTCAACTCCGCCGATTTAAATCCGACCAAATTCTTTACATGGAGCGTTTTTTGGTAGAAGTTTAATGAACAACTTATCATCAGTAAAAACAGTCTTCAGTGCAAGGTACGAAGCTGATGGGCGATCATGGACAAGCAGGAGGTTGCACGTGCATGCGCGTGCTTTTGGACCCGCCTTGAGAAGGTCATTGACGCCGAGGGCGGTCAAATAGGATGAGGGATAGGTAAAAGGTGACCGATTGATAGGATGTTGCTAAAATAGTGCTTGGAGCTATATTTTTAGATTCATGACCAAATAATCCCGTTTGATATTTATTACCGATTATGCTGCCCCACCCTGTATGTATGTAATTGCCTCAGACTGCCAATTAACCTGTGCGTATGTACAATAATTCCGTATATATTATCTGAAGCAGCCTGCCGCTGTCACTCGCCGCTGTGAGGGCCGATTGGTGTGCCGCCGGTCGCCTTGCTGTGTGGAGCCGGCACCGTTTCCGATGATGTCACAGGAAGGCGGCTATCTCTTCCGCCGGAGACGGCACGGCCGGCGGCGCGCGGCGAGATCGGCGCCCGAAGCCGTCAATCAGCTGTGCTGGCCGGGCTCCTTGGGTGGCATTCTGTTCTGAAAAAGCCGTGGCTACATTTTACCTCATGCTTGTCTCATTTTTTTTTTCAAATTGATGCTTACGAATTACGATGCGAGACAATAGGATACAATCACCCAACTTATCATGGAGAGGTGCCGTATTTATTGAGCTTCTGGGGTCTATTGGTCTTACCGTAGGCAATATGCGTGCTGGTGTCTAGTCGTTAATGCTGCGCGTTAGTTACCTATGCATATCACCCTTCAGAAACTTGAAGGTCCATGGCCCTCCCCAGGTTCCCATGTTCCAGCGGCTGCTGGTAGCCTGCGCAAGAGAATAAGATCTCTATGCCCGTACGCCGCGCGTTGCGGAAATGTCAATGACCATATGAAGCACCTATGACCATATGAAGCTTTACTGTGTTACGGTTAGCCTCTGCTTCGTTTGCGCTAAGCGTAATCCACTGGACATGGCCAACATAAACCGTTATTACCCGTAAACATAGGCACCGTTACTGCCGCGCTCAATCATGGACGGAGAATGGTGTCGGCTGACGCTATTTTCCTAGTCGCTTCGATTAGCCGGCAGACTGCCCTGCCAATCTGAGCTGTATCTACCAATGTCTAAGAGGGCGGTAATAATGGACGCTAGTCTGCGTATCGACGTCTTTCATCTAGCTGCGGTCAACGGCAGGCTCTGACGGGTCTCTGTGTTTGCAGGCGGGGCTGACAACAACAAGGGCCGGAGTAAAAAATGGAAGAAGATCCTGGCATTCCCGCACATCTCGGAGTGCATAGGCATCAAGGATGAGCTCTGTAAGTGTTACACTACGCGACTGGTACCTTTAACGATAGGAAGATGTGCTTTTGACAGGACGTTATGGATTCGAAATGAGGCAAACACGTGGGTGGTGACCAACGTGAATTATGACAGTCTTGCCTTAAGTATTCCCCTTATTCGACTTTCAAACACCTTTCCACATTTTTTTTCTGGCTTGACACTGTGGTCGATCTGACAAGTGGCTCGAGTCACTCGTTCGTTGGGGTACGATATGCCGTACATGCTAACGTCTGTCGCTGCTCGTTGCTTGCTGCTTAGCCTCTCCTCTAACAATTCCCTCCTTTCGACTTCCTCCGTGCTGTTACCTCCCCTTCACCCTGTCTGTGTCCCGCTATTGTTATAGGACATTTGTTCGTGGCACACTACCGCTTTGTGCTCATTCTCCCACGCTTCTCGTCTTTGGTTGCCGTCGTTTTGCGCTTATTTTGCGTCTTCAGCGCTCGTGGGCCTTATCATTAATGGCTCGTGTTGTGGGATGTCTGATTGTGGGACTGATGGCACTTGTCCTTGCATGTGATTTTGCCAAGCATTTTTTTCGGTATGCCCTTTCCAATCACTTCGCTCGGCGTTCTGTTGACGCACACACAATACACATGTTCATGTATGATATTGGTCACTCATTTTGTTCAACATAGCCTTTCCTCTCAAAATTGGGTGCTGAGATGTTCGAACGGATTGGGAACCCTTTTCACCGCTACGAGGGTTCAATCCGCACCAAGGCCATAAATATGTAAAAGATGAATCATCCATCATATCATTTGCTTATTTGTGTAACTTATAACAAATGCCACAGAGCATTTAAACCTCGCCGGACCTATTGGTTTTCTACATACGCGCCGGCCGAGGGGGGGGGGGCAGGTACGACCCCCTCGCCGTTTCGCCCCTTGTGGAGCTAGCGCGTCGCGGAAAAGACAAGCGTGTGCGCAGTTACGAGACGCAGAGATTGATACCCGAACCCGATTTTAAGGTCCTAGGTTAACTGGTGATCTCTGAGGTCAGGTCAAGTGCCCTAAGGTACGGTTCCGTTTTTGGTGAATAACTTCGCAAAAAACGGCCGCAGAGCCGCGATTTTGGCAGCATTTTATTTTATCATATTTGTATCACATTATATCACATAGGTAGTTGTCATATTTGAAGCACGAAAGTAAGATATTTTGTGGAGAAAAATGATGTCAGGTTCCATTGAAACTCCATGTTTTTGCTTTCGTCATTTTCGAGTAATCCATAGCATTCCAAACCCTGGACATCCTCTCCTACCAAAAACGGCGGCCCTGCGCCCACTAGAGATGGGGGATACCAACTTTTTGGTATACCGATACCAAACCGATACCAACTTGGTATTTCAAGGCGAGTGCATTTGGTATTTTGTCGGTATTATGAATCCTCATTAATGTCAAAGAGGCTGAGAATTTGGTAAAAAGTTGGTATTTTCCTCATATTCCCAAGTCGGTTTGGTTTCGGTATTTTTCCATGGGTATTGTTGGTATTTGGTTTGGTATCGGTATCACGATTTTCCGTAATTGACATCACTAGCGCCCATCTCCCTGTCGTGAGTGACGTATGGCTACGATATACCAAAGACTTCCAGATCTATAGAGTAAGCGATCTATGTGCCTATCTGGAAGGTGGATCGTGGCCGGTCTTATTTCCGTTTCGGGTTCCGTTCTTTTTCAGTCATCCCCGTCCCTGGCACCAATGACACTGGTTTCTGTTTTCTCGCTTCGCAGCTCAAACGTACACCGACCTCGTAGACAGTCAGCCGCTGGGGAAGAGACTGTTCCGCGAGTTCTGCCAGGTGATGCGGCCCGAGTTCGACAAGTACAACAAGTACCTGGATGCCGTGGTAAGTGCAACAAGTACCGGGATGCCGTGGTAAGTACCTACAACAAGTACCGGGATGCCGTGGTAAGTACAACAAGTACCGGGATGCCGTGGTAAGTACAACAAGTACATGGATACCGTGGTAGGTACAAGTACCGGGATGCCGTGGTAAGAACAGCAGCAGTATCCAGTGGTAAGTGCAGCAGCAGCATGCCGTGTTACGTGCAGCAGCAGCACCGTCAGAGGCGGTGGATGTTGCGGGAGGACGATAGAGGCGTGGGGGCGTGAGCAAGCTTTAAAATGAAATGTAAGTTTAACTGTAATTTAGCTTAAGATACGTCGTCCACTCCAGAAGTTTTGAGACTGGCCTCGTAAAATTCATATGAACAGTGATAGATACTTGTTGTTCTTACAAGTCCTTACCACAGTTGTTATAAACGTACTTGCGTAATTTTGTTTTTCTACGTTGCAAAAGACGGCAACGGCGTCACCCTGAACATGGCAAGTCGCACGCGGCTTGTCACGGTGACCGGTGTAGAGCACAGTCAGGTTGTTCATGTGAAGACAACTTGGAGGGTCGCTGTGCAATAAAATTTTGGGATTAGCTTGGCAAAATGCCCGAGAAACATAGCAAATTGACTCTCAAGTGACTTGAGACGAAATTTGGATGTATTTTTACCATCATGAGACCAACAGCCAGAAGGTCCAATGAAAACACACTGACTCCTTCAGTCCCAATAAAGACAGACAGCGCAGGTCCACTGGGAAGCTCAAATTAATCCCTTACTTAGAACAAAAAGGCAAAAACTTCATAACCTGGGTCCCCTACACGGCCAGATGGTCAACAAGAAATGATTCGTGAAGGTTCTGAGGGAGTTGAGAAAGAGATTTCGCCGCAAGAGGTCGGAACTCTTCAACTGTGTCCCCTGCACCAGGACAGCGCACACACCCACAAGTCCACCATGGAGACGAACTATCTGACACAGATGTGCGTCAAAACCGTCCGTAACCCTTCCCACAGTCCTGATCTGGCCCCCGCCCCCCAGTGGCTTCTGGATGTTCCCAAGACTGACAGGGAAGCTCAGGGGCCGTCTTTCGGAGGGTGTGGAGGAGATGAGTGAGGCTGTGACAGAGGCCCTGGGCACCTTCACTTTCAAGGCCTATCAGCAGGCCTTCAGGCAGTGACAGGAGCGCTAAAGCAGGTGCATTGGACTCGGGAGGTTCCATTTCGAGAGTCATAGAAGTTTCATGCTTCTCTGAAACAGACAACTGTCTCTACTGAAAAAGTCAAAACTTCTGGAGTGCACCGCGTATCTTACCTTTGTGATTTTTGCAGCTCAATTCTCTTTCACTCACGATTGGAAATTGTGTTTACAGGAGCAGTACGAGTTGGAAGCAGACGAGAAGCGAGCGGAGGCAGCACAAGCTATTTTCTACAAGTATATCGCCTCCACGGTAATGCCCACATTAATGCTTTGTCAGGAAGATGTCCTGTTTTTTGTTGTTGTTGGTTTTTTTTTTTTACTTTTCGGGATTGAAATCATACAAGACTAGTATTTTCCTGCACCACACTTGCGTTGACGTGTATGCTGATACAATGATCACCGATTTGGGAATTGAAAGCATTGGACCCAGCGTATCATTGCTTTGTCGTCATATAAAGGCAAATGCACTCTTTGCTGCTACTTCGGTTCACCGACTCGCTGCTCCAAACAGCTCAGCGTTTGGGGATTGGGATACAATTATGCTACCCGAATACTGACAACCGTGCACTGGTTTAATAAACATTTCACTGCCGTGCCGGTTTCCCATTTCTCTCAGTTGGGCGGGTGCAGCGATCCGGCCTAAAGCCGTTGTAAGTTAAGTAAGCAAACAAACCATTCCTCTCATGCGATGCTCGATCCTAATAGTGTCGTCATTGACCGGTGATGGAAGCCAAACTAACTGAACTGATGGGTCTGGAGCGGAGGCTGGGCTCCAATGGTGATGGAAGTGTCACAGGTGTGCGCGCGATGCAGTCCGGTCTACCCGTGCCGTCTCGGTACCCTGCCCCGCTGACTGAGCCGTGTCGGTCCCTCCCGCACCAGTCTGCCGAATCCATAGACGTGCTGAACGACGACGTCTCGGCGGCGTGCAAGGAGGGCCTCCTACGGCCGTCCAAGGAGCTCTTCGACGGCTGCGTCCAGCAGGTCAAGGCGTTCCTGGCGCGACAACCGCTGCAGGAATTCATCGACTCCATGTTCTTCCATCGGTACCTGCAGTGGAAATGGCTAGAACGGTGAGTGACGTGTGATACCGCGTAGCTTATATCGCGTTAGAAATAAATGTTTTTCTCTTGCATCGTCGATATTCTTCCGATTGTCGCTTTGATTGACATTCGGAGAAGTTAACACTCTCTGCGTCTCCTTTCCATCGTAAGAAAATAAAAAAAAATTATAGTTTCGCCGTTAGCTCCCCAACGTGTGAAAATACAGTAGTATTGCCGTTATCTGCCTTCCTTGTAAAGGTCAATGACGTTAAGTGTAAGGATATTATTTATCACATAGGGCCTTTCTTAGAAGCACTTTCGTACGTTAGGTAGAATATACAGAGCTTGAACGGTTATCAGGCCTATCAGTGTTATTATTCCCGGGAAAGGAATATTATTATTGTCGGTATGCATGGTCAGTTGTTAATTTCTACCACATACCAGTGATCTGAGTGACCGTTCTCCGTTCGCAGGCGGCCCGTCACCTACAAAACGTTCCGTATGTACCGGGTGCTGGGTAAGGGAGGCTTCGGAGAGGTCTGCGCCTGTCAAGTGCGGGCCACCGGCAAAATGTACGCCTGCAAAAAGTTAGAAAAGAAACGAATTAAGAAGCGGAAAGGAGAGCTCATGGTGCTGATAGAGAAAATGACCCTAGAAGAAGTCAACTCTAGATTTGTTGTAAGTACCTATTTTCTTTTTGTACTGATGGTTGGTCATTAGGACGGGAGATAGTGGGCGACCGTTCCACCAGCACCGCTGTTAAGATTTGTGGTTAATCTTATATTCAACCGATATTGCTATCAATTTTTAACAATTTTTTTTTATTGTGCATTATGACGTCACGATCGTATGACTATGTTCGATGACCTCACACATTGACCCCAGTCGACACTGATTATCTCCGCGTAAGTACCGATTGGGGAGTGTCGCCGGGGAGTCTGACCGATCAGCGGGCGGAGGTGCGCCACGCACTGTGGTGCGTGCGTCCGCGGTCTGTGTGTGATAGCAGAACAGGACGACGACCGCTGTACATACACGACGCGGCCAGATAAGGGGCGGCGCGGGGGGCCAGAGCGATAGATGTCGCGGATCGCCCTGATATTCTGACTGACAACCGACACGTGACGTAGGCAGTGGATGATGACGGAAAGCTGCGGATGTGGAGAGCGAAACCGCCGAAGAATTGAAGCATGCAAGGATGTCAAGGAAGTTGAGGCGACGGAGGGAATTGAAAAAAAAAAATGATAAGGAATATATGGTATGAAAGATTTGTTAAACTTTGCTCACATACGAACCCACCACCCAAGACGCCTCAAAAAGTAATCGGCCTAGAAGAAGTTGAATGACTTGCAGGCAAACTCATTGAAGGACATGTACAAAGAGGCTCTGTCACAGTAGAACAGGGAAGACAATGGTCCCCAGCCGGAGGGCGGTGTAGACAGTTGTAGCGGTAGCTGTGGAAGCTGTAGCGGTCTTCCTTGGCGAAGGAGCTGCTTCCCGCGCCGTCAGCCAGTGCCGCTGCCTGCTCCCGTGGATCCGTTCTCTGGTGACGTGCCGCCGACCGAGGCCGGCCGGTGACGTCACCACCCCGACCCGGAACGGCAGAGTGTAAACAGCAAGAGTGTAAACCGGCGGCGGCGCGCCGTCCACCCGGAGACGGATGACGCCACTCTTTGGTTTCCATCTGCCATTATTGACGCTCCAGTCACCAGATAAATGTAATGTAAATTTATTTAAACACCGACCGCCCGGTATTTTTTTTTTTTTGTGTGTGGTGCCTTCTCGCCTCTCGGCCGCCGCTGACCTGCTGTTCGAGCGCCCTAAACCCCAATCAACAATGTTATCAATTTCAAATACTATAGCTGTTTTAAACGATGTTTTCTGGTGTTTACGGGGAAGTGTTTCATGTGCCATGCTTTATCTAAGCATCGGTTAAGCTAACAGAACATTGATATTTTTGAAGCGCTAATGAACAGACATATTCCCTTTGATGCTGCCACTGCACAGTGTGGCCGAAGACCAGTTTAGCGCGAATTTAATCCCAGCGCCGCTCGGATTCACTGAAAATGGTTCTCTGGTTCCAAAACTGACATTTACCCCTCGCCGGACCTATTGGTTTTCAAAATACGCGCCGGCCGAAGGAGGGGGGGGGGGGGGTACGACCCCCGCCGCTGTTTCGCCCCTGATGAAACTAGAGCCTCGCGGAAAAAAACGAGCGTGTGTGTCGTTACGAGACGCAGCAACTGGTATCCGATTTTAAGGTCTCTGGTTAACCTGTGACCTCTGAGGTCAGGTCAAGTGGCCCAAGGCACGGATTCGTTTTTTATTAATAACTTCGCGAAAAAATGCCGCAGAGCCGCAATTTTGGCATCATCGTGTCTGCCTCGCTCAGGTGCGTCGAATGGTATACTTTTTGTTCGGCTGAAGTCAACTTAAGGTGTTGACCTCGGGTCAAGGTCAGGTTAGAGCCCCCCAGATCACGAAGTTGGTCGAAGGAGGTCATGTTGCATATCATTCGATTCAGCAGGTCTTCCTGAGTCCATTGGTGGCTTTCCCGACTCGCTAGCTCAATTTGATCGGGAGTTATTGACGAAAAACTCTTATTACCCTAGTGACGTCATAAATGACGTCACGTAAGGCCAATAATGCAAAAGTGAAGCATCGGACCTTGCAAGGAGTGCATGAAATCACGATTCCGTGTGCTTGAGATAGTTAATTAGGCTGGAGCCTGTTCGGCCGCGCCGCCCCCGACCTTGGCCAGGTCACGCCGGGCGGCCGACTAGACATGTTCAAAGCTGAATTGACGGCAAATAGGCAAAAAGTGGCAGCTGAAACTTGCTCGCTGATGTTCAGAAATGTGCGGAGAGTTCAGCCATGCCCTATTCGTCATATCCATTTTTATCCATTTTGACATTTTCCAACTTCTTTATGAAATACAATCGTGAGAACGATACACATGCAAGGCTCCTGTTCTAACTCATTAAACTCAGAAACCATTCATTGAAAAGCTACCATGATAGCAGAAACAGCTTCATCATGAATTGTGCTATCCGGTGATATGCTATTTTCTCATATATCTTCTCGAAGCTTCCGTAAAATTTACATTGAAAACTGGACATATTTCTCAGTACCATGGCGCCGATTTCAGGAACCGGAGCGTGGGTCTACTTTCGGCAGTGATATAAGTCGTCAAATGGTAAAGTGGCTTAAAAATAAGGTTCTATCCGATAACTTTGGACAATTTCCTACCCATTGATAGGTATAAATAACAGTTTATTGAAAGTCGGGTTTTTGATTAAATTCGCGCTAATCTGGTATTCGGCAAGACCGTGCACTGGTAGCAGATTCGAGCTGATGCCATAGACGCGTATAGGTGACCTGGAGACATGCACAGCAGCTTGTTCACGGGCCTGCTGCTGTTCGTAGGGACATTCACTGGACCCCAACCTGCAGTAGTATGGAGCTGTTTCGCCCAATGTCTGTCCAGCGACCACCTAAAGGTGATTAAAGGTGATTTTTAAAGGTGATTTTCCAGTATAACTATCTTCCTCTGTATAAAGAAATAGTATGCAGTGCTCTAGCGAGGAACATCTTGATTACGAGCGAGCGAGCGCAGCGAGCGAAGCGAATTCTTTTCAATATAACGGAAAAATCTCAGTATGAGCGGCCCGGCCCGGCCCGGCCTGTAACGCTTTTGAGAGGCTTATATCTCAGCAACCGCTAGACCGATTGGCCTGCGGTCTTTTTTTTTTGCTGGGTAGCCCCATCCCTTCTACCCCGTAATTGACTACTTTTGACTCATCTCAGTGACCGTCGTGGCACGGTGAAAAGTCAAGGGTGTTCAAGCTGTTTTGCAAAAGTAGTGATTTTGAGAGGCTCATATCTCAGCAGCCGCTTGGGCGATTGTCTTGCGGTAATTTTTGTAGGGTAGCTGTATCCCTTCTACCAAAGGTCGGATACTTTTGATCTATGTGAGTGACCCCCCACTGCACGTGCAAAATACAAAAAGAAGAGGTGCCAAATTTGTTTCCATTTCAATAACTCAGTAATTACTGGGGCGATTTCGCTGAAACTTGGCATGCAGGTAGGCACTCACCAGGCAATGCACTCCCATGTGTTGCGGTTAAGGTGCTACTGCACGTGCGCACGTGCAGGGGGCGCTTCCAGATCTCGAGAACGGCTGGGCCGATTGCGCTCAAATTTGGTACACGGTTGGGGACCAGTTAGTAGGGTGCCGTGCAAAAGTCAGTTTGGACCCCGTTTGCACGTGCGCACGTGCAGAATGCCGCTTCCAGATCTCAATAACGGCTGGACCGATTGCGTTCAAATTTGGTACACCGCTAGCGACCGGTTAGAAGGGTGCTTTGCACAAGCCCGTTGGAAGTATCCTCTCGCCTTTCCACACGTGCAGAGCTCACTATCTCGCTCGCTCGTTCTTCGCCCAAAAGGCGTTTTACTGGTATACCGGGTGGTCCAAAAAAACGTTCCGAACTTTGGAGGCCTATATCTCAAATTCTAGTGCGAATAACGAGCCAAAATTTTCATCAAGTTTGCGTCACTTCTTTGCGCATTGGTATGCCAAATTATAACACTGTACCATCATTTTCAAGCCAGCAATCTTATGTTGGATTAAGTAAGACATTTTTGCTTTTTTTGCCGTTGTTGAACGGTAGTAATGATTGGCTTAGACGTACCATGTTAGAAAAAAAATAGAAAAAATAGAATACGTGAATGATACCAGCACGTGTGTTGTTATTTTTAATATTTTTGTCCCACTTATGTACCAAATATCCAAATACTAAGCCAAAATTGTGTTAATGGATGCCATTCGTTTCAACACAAGTTCTGTTTCGAGCAAAAGGAGTGACACGGTGCATGGGTTACAGCTGATCGCCCTCCTTTCAAGATCAAATAGTAAATCGACCGAATAAGGATAAAGGCTAGAGGGAATGTGTCACTCTGAGGCCTGAACCATCAATGAGACTATAGTGCCAGTAGCAGTCATGGCTGCAGGCCGTGGTGCCGAGATGGAAGTGGCCCGTTCACTGACATTTTTAGTAAACATCTGAGCAAAAAAGTGATTTTTACATGGCATGCTAGAAACACGAACCGTTTAAAAAGTAATCAACCGAATAACATAAATATCATACCATATACTGAAAATATATGCCGCATTGACTATTGGAAGTTTCAAGGTTGTATCTTTATCACTTTCTGAGAAATATTGATTTAAAATTGGGAACGTTTTTTCTGGGCCACCCGGTATGTAGTTAGAATTTTAAATGACAATTAAACGATTAATATATATTAACACATGGTTTCCCGTGTGTAAATGGTTTTAACGCACGACGTGGATGGATTGGAGCACGCGTGTGTTAATGCACGAGTGAAACGAGTGCATTAACGCACAAGTGCTCCATTCCATCCACGAGTGCGTTAAAACCATTTATGCACGGAAACCATGTGTTAAACTAATTAATACATGCTTAACGGTGCGAATTTAAATTAAAATTAAACTTAGTCCAAGACACTAAAAGGGCCATTTATGGGAATTCTTAAAATAAAGTCAATGACCCTTCCGAAAAACTTCAGTCGAGAAATTCATCAATGCACGCGCGTGCACCAATTTAAATTGGTGCACGGCTACCTTTGAATTAATGCACGGTTAATCTCCAGTGAACGCACCGTAAAGTATGTATTAATGATAATGATAATTAATGTCACTGTCTTGTTTGTTTTGTTTGTTTTTCATTGTTTTATGTGGCTTGAGAATGAACTGTTGCTCGAAAATTTGCCAAACAATATAATATTTACTTTTTAGTGAATTTCCAATTAATTATCGAGGATAAGGTCATTTAAAATCCTAACTACAAACTTCCTCTGTACAGTTGTATCCAGTGTGAATAAATAAATGAAATATACCCCAACCTTACGTCTAAAAACATACCTTCATCCAAATTATATTTACGAATTTATATAATGCAAGACACATTCGTGGAACCGGCTGCCGGAACCAGTAGATATCGGCCATCATGAACGAGTGAATGTCCCCACTAAGAGCGACAGACCCACAAATATGCTGCTGCGTGACTCCAGTTGTGCCCACTGGTGGACCCAAGGGGCATTTGGAGCATTTGGTCCTCCGGCAGAGTCCGAAATTGACCAAATTTTGTCATCAAACTAAAGAAAAGAAAAGAAAACAACGCTTATTAGAAAAGTTTGTTGTAAATTTCACAGCAACACATCAGGAAGCGAGAACCGAAAAGTTATAAGAAATTGAAGTAACCATTTGGTGAGTACGCACTCCCGCAGTGTCCACTACCACCTCTCTGGCTCTGACAACAAGGACGCTAACACACTCTGATGATCTGGCAATAAGGACGCTAACACACTCTGATGGTGTGCTACAGCTGAGCCTCGCAAACGGCAGTGACCGAGGACGCTAACATACGTTTGCGGTGTCCCCCCGAATCTGCTTTCGGCAACTAGACATTCTGTGAAATTGCTTACATTATCGGCATGTTCCGGGCCGGTAAATTCTGTCCGCAAGTAGCGGATTTACAAATGTCAGTATGCTGCAGCTATCGAACTTTATCTATAAATCACTGATAATCCTCTCATGATAAAGATAGTAAGCTTAGGCATCAGAATTAGTAGCACTAATATCAATCAAAATATTTCTCATTTAGCGTCTATTTCAAACAGCTAACCTGATTGCGTCCTCCGGTCGTAGTGGACTGATTTTATTCAATGTGGTTTTTAAACGGAATCGAGCTTTCCTATTTTAACCCAACAAATCATAATCTCAGGAATGGAGTGCCGGTTTAAGCGACCGCCTGTTGGTGCGTCGATCGCTCTCGGCTCCGGTCGTGCGTCTCTCGCGGCCACTCGGCGGCGGCGGCGGTCGGCTCGGCGTGCTGTTGCGATGCGCCGTCTGTAGGTCAGTGGTCGGGCCGTGCCGACTCGGTCCGACTATCCGTATCCTATCGAGCGCCGGCCGGCGGCCGATCGGGCGCGCCCCGCGCGCCGTCCCGGCCGACTGAGATCGATCATCCCTCCGAACCTGGCGAGTTTCCGCGTAACAGCGCCGCCGCCGCCGGCCGGAGCAGCCCGCAGCGGCGCGGAGTCCGCACAGTGCCGGATTCACACCTCCCCCGCCGGCTGCTGGGCGGGATCGCCGCTCTCCGGCCCTTTTTACACCGCCGCTGTGCGCACTGCGTTGGCCGGTGTCATTACGATAATTATCTATACATTGCCGGATGTGGTGGCGACACTGCAGGTCACACCGCCCTCGGACTGACGCCGTGTTTTTATTTCAGGTTAGTTTGGCGTACGCCTATGAAACCAAAGATGCCCTGTGTCTGGTGCTCACCATCATGAACGGGGGCGACCTCAAGTTCCACATTTACAACATGGGCGGCGACCCGGGCTTCAGCTCCGAGCGGGTGCTCTTCTACGCGGCGGAGGTGGGAGTTAGCCCGCGCCCCGTTGGGCTCTGCCGAGCAACGCGCCCGGTTGGGGGGGGGGCCATTTTGGCCCCCCCCCCTAAGATCTCGAGAACCACGCAACATAGCGACAAGCGGTAAACGGCGTTGGATAGCCCCAACGGGGAACTACCTTGTGACCCAATTTTATTGACCTAGGTCAAACCGATGACGTCACAGGTCAGGTCAAAGGTCCAATTTTCACCGTTTACAGGCACTTCAAGAAATGCGTTGTAAAATCGAGTAAAATGCATTTCATTGAAAATCATCGATGGGGAAATGTTCTTCAAACACATATTTTGCTATTTGAGGTCACTGATACCAGGTCAGGTCACAGAGGTCAGGTCACGGGGGGGTCACAATATGAAAGTGTCGTGTGATACACGTTTTATGGTCCATTTTACATGACAAATGCGATTATATGGGTCAGGCAGCCTTTGGGGCCAGCTTAGATCACGTTTTGGTCAAGGTCAGGTCAAGGTCAGGTCAAATTAGGTCAAATTTCAAAGTTAATATTTTTGCGTAAAATGGGTATCGAATCGATGCAGCTCGTCACGGGGAGTTCAATGGTGGTCTTTGTTTTGCCGTACGTGGTCTAGAATTGCTAAAAATTGAGTTCAAAAATTTGACGTCATCATTTTTGAACAGTTTTTTCGCTATAACTTGGCCAAAAAACGAGATATCGATCTGAAATTTGGTATGTATATAGAAGAGCGCTGGGACTATCACATATATTCCGGTTTTTTTCGAAATTCGGAAAAATTTTGGATTTTTTCCAAGTTTTTCTAAAAAAATCAATTTTTTGAAATTTTTTTGGTCAAAAACCAAAAATTTTGAAAATCCGAGATAGCAGTTTTGTAGCGCCGCTTTTTGTCTACTAGACCATATAAAGAACTTTGAAATTGCGTGATAACTGTAGATTTGGTGAGCGTTTCAAGATTGCATGTTTTTTGCTCATTTTTGCTCGAACATGACCTCAGTTTGACCTCAATAACTCCTGACCTAAGGTGACCTAAGACTTGAAATTTGGTGTGAAGGTGTCAAATTGATGCCCGGGAAGGTACTGAAAATTTGGCGGCGCTGCGCGCCGCCGTTTTCTTGCTATTCAGGAAAAACCACAGGGGGGGGCCAAAATGCCCCCCCCCCCAACGGGGCGAGGGTTAGTCCGCGCCTAGTGCGGCGCCGCGCTAATGGCCGCGATGGGTTTTCTATTTCATATGTTCCTCTCTGAGCTCAGAGCAGCATAAATCAGTTCCACTCCGCTCCATTTCGCCTCCGTTGTCAGCCGGATTCACGCCGGATGCGCTCATACAGAAAACCGACTCGCGTCGCATAAAAAGACGCCAATCGGGCGCATGTAAAACTTTAGGCCTATACATTGCCCTATAAATGGCCAGGAACATGGCTGTATCTACGTCATGGTGTGTTCTATTTTTATTTGTTGACGGAGAATCTTCGCTGTATTACCCGGATGCATGCGTATCTATATACAACGCATCCGGTGTGTGTAATCGCTTAGTCTCTCCATGTAAGGAATCTCATGGCCTATCATTTGTCATTCATTCAGTTGCAACACCGCACACGGGTACAGACAGTCGTGCAAACTCATACTCAATCACGCACCAACTATTTGAACGGACCCTTTCTTCTCACCTCGCTCGCAGGCTGCTCAGAGAGGTGACTAGTCCTTATCCTTCTCTCCTGACTGCACCGTCCAGCGTCATCTCTGCCGGCCGCCGATGGCTCCCGTCCAGCGGGGACGAATCCTGCTCCTGCGTCAGCGTTCCTGCCTTTGGCTCCTACTCTAGTAAGATAGATCCTACTCCATATCCAGTGTTCTCGTGCACCCTGCTTTGTGAGCGCAACCGTCTTATCAGCTGGTTTGTTTTTGGGAATCCAAAATTGAATGATCTGTGTCTATCTGTCTCCCCCATCCCTCTCTCCTCTTACTCTCCCTCATCCTCCCTCCTTCCCTCACCCTCTCCCCTCCCACAGTGACTGACACTCCACCCGTCCCCGTCAGGTTCTCTGCGGCCTACAGGACCTGCACGCCAAGGGGATAGTGTACCGCGACTGTAAACCGGAGAACATCCTGCTGGACGACCTGGGCCACGTGCGCATCAGCGACCTGGGCCTGGCCGTCGATATCCCAGAGGGCGGCTGGGTGCGCGGCCGAGTCGGCACCGTCGGATACATGGGTGCGTATTGATGGTGCCGTCGGCTACATGGGTGCGTATTGATGATGGTACCGAACACGAAGACACACAGTGCAGTGAAGAGATCCCAGGACTCTGCTGCTACGTGGCTGCGTATCTGTGTCCGCGAAAACGGAAACATGTGGTGCGGTTGGGGACGGTAACCTTTGCTACTTGGGAGCGTATTTCTTAAAAAAAAAACGAAGCGTAACAAATCCACTTAGTGCAGTACCGAAGGCGGTGGGCTCACCCTGAACTGTATTTCCAGCGTTCTGGAACATCTACTTCGGAATGTTGAAAACTAACTGAGACGCTGTCCGTGAAGTGAGCACTGTGCGTCTTATTGTACGTCAGTAATGCTAATGCTAATGCTGATGCTCATAATGCTAATCTGATGGACGTGACTCACCTTGTCGCTGCTTAGTTGCCCATCCGCCGGTCCTCATTATCCTGATAGCGTATTCCTCTCATATTCATAAATATTCCTCCAGGTGTTAACAGACCAACACCCATCATTATCATTTGTGTATTTGAGACATTCTATAAACACTCGTGGAAAGCCCAGCTAATGCACTGTCGACTCACTGTCCTGCTGCAGCGCCGGAGGTGATCGACAACGAGTACTACAACTTCAGTCCGGACTGGTTCAGCTTCGGCTGCCTGCTCTACGAGATGATCGAGGGCCAGGCGCCGTTCCGCGCGCGCAAGGAGGCTGTCAAGCGGGAGGAGGTGGACCGGCGCGTCAAACAGGACCAGGAGAAGTACTCGAGCAAGTTCTCCGACGTGGCGCGCTCCCTGTGCCAGCTGGTGAGGAGGGCCGCGGGCCGCGGGGCGGGACGGTCACTGTGCGGGGCGTCAGCGGGGAAGCGGGTACCTAACAGTGCGGGGGGTCGGACTGCCGCGAGTGGGATGCAGTGGACATCGTACGCTGGATTGGTAGACACTAGACAGGATGAGAGTGATGATAGATGAGCACGAGGACGGAGCACAGGTGAGGTTTAACAGTCCCTCGAGCATTAGGAGCTGATGCTTGTGTATGTGTACCAGTGTCCGTTGACACCCAAAACTATTTGTCAGGATGTTATAGTTCATTTTCGGATCTCGCTATCGGTAGATGCTATTGGGCCGTAACTTTTGCTGGGTGCTCATATCAGCTGGGAGCACATGAAAAATAAGTAAATAGTTCAGCCCAAAATGTGAAATACCATTCGTGACCTAAGATCACCTCAGGGGCATAAACGGGGGTCACAGACACTATTTTCATGTTCAGTGTGTCTAAACCACTTGTAATTCAGTGTTTGGGAGTGTTTATAATGTCATTTGTCCAAAAGAGGCGCTTTTCAATTTTCTCCCATTGACTTATAATGGGGAGGTCGCAAAATTGACCTGACCTTAGGTCATCGATATCAAAATTCTGAGATATACATTTTGTACATGCTATTGCTCTAAGCAATCGCTAAAAGTTTCAAAGCGATCGGTCACTCGGTGTAGCTATGGCAGACATTGAAACTTTTTATGAGGTGAGGTCACTTCAAGTGACCTGATGACCTGACCTTGAATGACCTTGGTCTGAAATTTTCACAACATGTGTAGAATGGATGTATGATAAGGTGTACCAAAAACGGCGGCGCTCCGCGCCGCCGTTTTTGAGATATTCGCGAAAAACCACAAGGGTGTTCAAACACCCCCCCCCCCAGCAGTGCGCGTGTTAATGGCTTCAGTGAAAGTTACTGTCAGACGCCACTTATTTGAAAAGGACTGTGTATTTGGATCTTAGCAATCAGTTTGACCACTTTGGCCGTATGCTGCTGACAATGAGTGGTTTTTATGAAGCCCACTAATGACATCAGCCAATATCAGCCAATTGAGCGTACCGTTTCGCCTTTCAGCTGTTGCAGAAGCGGCCAGAGGAGCGGTTGGGCTGCCAGCAGGGTCGGTTCGGCGCCGAAGAGGTCAAGAAGCACGAGTTCTTCAAGAACATCAACTGGAAGCGGTTGAGGGCGGGCATGTGCGACCCTCCGTTCATACCTGATGTGAGTGTGGGGCCAGGGGTAGGCTGGAAGTACAGTGGTAGACTGACTTGTACTCACAACTGATCGCACGGCGTGGGACTTATCACGTCCTCAACCCGTGCCGAGTCCGCGGTGCTCGTTTTCTGACGGTCCCTCTACCGACTGGCGTGTTCTTCACAAACGTCCGTGCTCGCTTGTGACTGCCCGTCCCGCTGTCTGAGAGCCTGTGTTCACCGCTAGGCTCCCGTTTGTCCTCACTAACGCTCGTCTCGTTCTCAGCCGGTGTTCTACGCTGGCTGCCCTCGCCCCCCTCGCCCCCGCTGACCGCCCTCGCTCCCCACTTGACGTCCGTTCCATCTCGCCGGCAGCCTCACGCGGTGTACGCCAAAGACGTGTTGGACATTGAGCAGTTCTCGACGGTGAAGGGCGTGGCTCTGGACTCCCGGGACTCGGAGTTTTACGACAAGTTCAACACGGGCTCCGTGTCCATCCCGTGGCAGCAGGAGGTGGGTGGACGGCCAGACGCGCCGGGGATGTAACTTGGCAAACATTCGTGGGAGGAGGAAACACGGGGACCGGAACGGGGGCAAATCCGCAACACACTTGTTACCTTATGGATATACTGGAAACTTTTGAGTGCTGCATCGCTGATCTAGAATGCATAATGGATATGCATAGCTTTGTAATTCCTAGAACATGTTAGGAAGTAAAGTGAGCAGCACACGGCTGGTCTACCAGCCGGTACCGACAGCAGCCCAGCTGAACGGGCAGTATGTCATTTCCTGATTGGATGGACGTTAGGTGCCAAATTACAAGCTTTGGTGCTGAAGTATTGAACAGCGCTGCGCTGCTTCTATGTAGGTGATCCCCGCGGCCCGCAATATGACTGTGATAATGTGTAAGCGCCTTGTTGTCTGAGGACCCGCCAGCTCCGACATGGCTTCTGTTGTGTGCGCGCTCGCTAAGCCTGGCCTGTCCCGGTTTCTGTTGTCAGCCATCCCTCGCCACGGCCTCTGTATGCACTGTGCGCCGCCCGGCCGCTAGTGACCTGCCTCCCCGCCGACCGCAGATGCTGGAGACGGGGTGCTTCAAGGAGCTGAACGTGTACGGGCCCGAGTACACGCGCAGCGACGACCTGCGGCTGGACCTGCCGCCGCCCGAGACCAGCTCTGGCTGCTTCAGCACGCTGCGACGCCGGCGGCGCGGCCAGCACCCGTGAGTGCCGCCCCTCGCTCAGGTACACCATAGCGACACTGGCGCACCATGCACCCTGCTAGGTAGAGCGTGACAACGTCCGTAGTGGTAGACGAATCAATCGCGATGTGCGTCCAAAATAATACGTTAGGTACCTAACGTGAACAAGGTTTTTTTCAGTCTAGTTACTGATCAGCCAGACACGTACTTTTTGTGAAAATAGCATGCATTATTTCGTTACAAATTGACTCGAATGCGATGTATACGTGATAGATCCCACACAGTTTTTACCCGCTCGAATGTTAAAGGGAGATAATGAGCTTTCTTTTTTCTTAAATAAAAATTACTTGACATTTATACTATTTCTACTGTAGTTTCTATAAAATATGAAAATTTCCTAGCACATTTTCGTATGTCAAAAAGGTTTTTATTTTTGCAAAAATGAAGCAGTACTTGCAGTACTTGTAACACCCACCGAAATGCGGTGTCCTTCTCTATAAAAAAAAGTCGCAGTATATGGCGCTTTTGTTTCAAACAGCGACGCTTGGGTTTTTGTTTATGTTATCGCCTTGTCGTTGCTTGGTTGTATGGATTCTAATTTGAATTAGAGTTAATTCGGTTTAGAATTAATTAGATTCTAATTCGGGGGTACATAGTGCCTACTCTTCTTTGTTTCCAAGTATTATTTTGCGCCACAAATGAACGGCATGCGCCAGAAACGCAGCCAAATCTTGCGATTGCGACTACGAAATTCATTATTTTGGCGTCAGAGCCTGAAGCGAAAAATACAAGCATATTTATTTCAAAAAGACTTCAGGTTTGTCGAACGGTGTTATGAGAATTTTGATAACAGTACTGCATAAGTTTTTCAGTGATGCCGCAAAAGTGTTGTATCTATCTTCTTTTATTGTGCAGTCGGCGGGACCGATTCAAAATTGAGTCGTTGCTACTAAAATAGCAGCATATGGCGTCAGATGATGAACAGGAAAAATAGTTGCGTAAATTTAGACATAAACCACCCCCAAACCATGAACATCTTTTGAAGGCACTATAGACGACCATTAACTAACTAGATGTGATGAAGATCAAATGTAAGGAATACGCTCATTTTATAAAATTACATGCAAGTACCAAAAAGTGATGTAAGTACTTATTCAACGGTCATTTTCAGCGCTCCCCGCTAACGTGACTTCAAGTTGAGATATTTGCGGCAAGGTACCGAATTGAGCAAAATGGTTTTAATTTACATTATAACTTGTTGTGTTTTGTCAGAAAATGGTCCTAACTCAGATTTTGTGGGAAAAGGTCATTATCTCCCTTTAATAACCATTGCTACTAGTGGATCCAAGAGGGGCTTGGGGCATTTGCCCCTCTCGTTGCGTCCGAAAATGACGAAATGTCGTCGCTTTCCTCGCATGAAAAGCAATTTAAAGAACTTTTCGTAAAAACATCGCTTTAAACTGCTCAACAGTGCATAGGCAAGCGAAATTCGAGGAGTTTTATTAAATCGAAGATAGTTTTTGGGGAGTATGCCCGCCCTGCAGCATCCGAAAGCCACCTCTTTGCACTTGCCAGTGGTGACCACTGCTGATGTTAACATCCGTTATATGCTTGACCCGAACTCTTGTGAACAGCAAGTGTTGTTTGTGATTGAACCGTCCGTTGTTGGTGATTGTCCCTTGTCGAACCGGCGGTAACTGTTCACACGCTATCTGCTAACACTGGTCGTTGAGCAATATCCGCTAACACGTCCACTAACACACCGTGCTTTTATACGCTGACCACAGAGGTCTATGGCTGACTCCATGTCATTAGGACCGTCTGGTGATTCGCGACTCTGTGCTGCCCTGTGCCGTAACCTTACCTAACTCTGTGATCATCCGGCAGGGATCCGGAGGCCACGCCGTCGACTTCGCTGAGCAACTCTGACCCGTGACGCCAGCGGACCGGCCGCGCCGGCGCCGGCCGGTGAGGCCTCCTGTCTCGGCAGGGGACCGGTACCCCGCAGTCGCAGCCTCGCCTCACCATCATCTCTGTGTTCCTCGCGCGGCGCCGGTCCGGTCGAGGCGAGTGTCGCGCGGTCGGTGCCGCGGCCACGGCGGGGAGGGTGGCTCAGCGAGCCGTGGAGCGCCGGGTAAAGGCGGGGAGACTCAGAGACAGAGGGCTGGGCGACCGGATGTTGGCGATGTTCCTGGCCGCTCGCGCGCCGCTCCCTCCCTCCCTCTCGGTGAGCAGTCAGCCCCTCTCCCCGGATCGGGGCGCCGCCGTGAGCGGCCCATTCAAGTGTTAGTGTTGACCTCTGCTGGACCTCGCACCTCGCCGCCGCACTGTAGTTAGTCATCCGGGCGCCGGCCGCCCCCCCCCCCCCGACACACATCTACCTGAGAGCTCCTTGCGCCCGCCGCCGCCGCCGGCCGCCCAATCAAAAGCTCTTCCTGGCTGGGGCGGGTGGTCGAGGGTGGGTCGCCGTCTGCCGCGCGCGTCCGCCCGCCGGCGGCCGCTCGCCGCTCGGCCGGTGACTAGACGTAGCCTACGCGCTGCGTCAGCGAGCGGCGCCGTGTACGTGTGTCCGTCGTCTATATGTCTGTCTGTTTGTCTGTGTCTGTCTGTTCGTCTGTCTGTCAGTTTTGGGAGTCGAGACGTCGGTACGGGCGTCCCTGGTCACCCTCGTGCATGGGGAGCTCAAAAAAATCAGGGTGACAGTGCAATCGCAAGCGCATAGACGTAGTGACAGAGCGAGAGAGAGCTGTTGAATGTGACAGAGAGAGCCGACTGTGGTGGAGCGTGGCAGTCTGTGTGGCGGGCAGGACTGTGGCGAGCTACAATCGGCCGGTACCGGCTGTGCGTGTCGTCAGACGCACAGGGCAGGTAGCAGCACGGACTTGGAAACGGAGACGGCCGGAGGTCATTGTGAGGTGCGGGAACGAGTGGCTGAGCGTCTGCGTGGGTGTTTGTGTTCGGTGTGCGTGTGAGAGAGAGAGAGAGAGAGAGAGAGAGAGAGAGAGAGAGAGAGAGAGAGAGAGAGAGAGAGAGAGAGAGAGAGAGAGAGAGAGACGCACGCCGATCGCTCGGCACTCTCCAGTACCAGTACCTCCGCTGCATACGCTTTCATCTCTGGCACATAATGTCTGTGTGGATGTGTGCGTGTCTATTATGGAGGATCGAGGACAGACTAGCCTCGTCCGCACTTCATTGAGTGTATATATATACACAAATGAACGATCAACGCTTTTCAGGTACCTAATGTACGCGCACCGTTTCAACATTTTATTATTTATCATCGGCCGACATGTGATCCGTTTTAGTGGATTTCTGTCCACTCTGGTGACGGAGCGGGTGCGGCCGAACACCGGCCGCCGCTGCGGGCTCTGTGAGGTCGGTGTGCCGCGGCTCTGCCGGCGACTGGGGTGGACTCTGTGCCGGCGCCTCGGCTCGCGGCCGGCCGTTAGGAGTCGCCGGCTGTCGTGTGTAGAGCGCCCGGGCCCGCCCAGAGGGCAGTAGTCGAGTTTGTGGTGGCGCCCGCGTAGGTGGCGCTGGACCGCCGGCGCGCCGCCGCAGCCCCCAGGTACAAAATGTCTCCGGCGGCCCGCCCGCTCGGCGACACCGTACTGCCCTCCGCGGTCTAACTTATTTACGCCTCTGAATGTGTGCGAGGATGGTTTACCTATGACGAAATTAAAATACATTGTTTTCCAGCTCTGTGCATTGCTTGGAACCTGATATGGCGCTGAATTGGGTGCAGGGGCTGGAGCTTGTTAAATGCTTGGTGTCGCACGTTTAACAGTGAGGTCGCACACAGTATCAGTGATGGCGTCAAGCTTGAGTGTGTGTGAAATGACTGACAGTGAGTGAAGGCATCAGCCTCCTGGTAAAAAGTTAATCGGCTAAAACTAACCGAGCGCTAACGAGAAATAACTAACCGTGTTCTTCAGACGTCTGAAACAGCTTCTAGTTGGCACACGGAGGACTGGCTTTTGGATGCCACCCTGGGCTTATATCGTGCTGAAGTAGTTAGTTGGATCCCAGCTTCCTTTAGCGAGGTCCTCCTCAAACCATGAGCGCTATATTTAGCCTAGATATCGCGCGCATGAGCTGGATACAAACGACGCTCCTCTCTCTTCTCACCCCGAAATGCGGCATTTAGTCGAGTCTGGTCGCGGCGGCATTCAAACGAGCGACCACTGGGGATTAGATGTGACGCAACTGCCCCGCGATAGTTTCCAATTCACCGCAACCCAAGGTAGGGGTCATAAGGGTCCTGCAAATCTACATACCCAGTCTGCGACATGAGCCGAGCGGCTCTGAATCGCTGGCCGCGAGGTTCAGAGCTGTCGCAGGTGAATCAGCCCCAGGACGTGTCATTCGATTTAAACTGCTCGGGAACGGACAGTTGGAATGTGGAAGGTCCCGTCATCTGATACGAATAACCTGTGCGTTGCGCGTAACCATCCCACTGCAAACACTTTCAATACGTGAATGGTAGTACAATATTACATAATACGAAAAAAAAACAGTTTTTTCTGTTATCAGTGTGATCCTTGGAGCAAGGAATGTATACGTATACGCTAAATGCAGCGTTCGTCACATGTAAAGAAGGTACCTACACAGCGACGGGTAGCGGTCCTGCTGCACTATTTTTCGTATCCTTGGCTGAAATAAATAGGTAGTAACAACTCGTGACACAATTCCACAGATCTGTTTCAGTTATGAACGCCGCCGCCGGTGAGCACATACATACACGTACCACTGACGGAACTGCGATGAACACATTCCCAGCAATATCGCTCGATTCCTCAATGGCCCGACCGTCAATCTCGGTAGCTGGCGGCCCGAATATTTGATCCCACAGATCTAAATCATTCATACAAACACAGCAATGCGGAATTTAGAGCACCGTGACCGGCCTGCAGGTACTGCTTTCCGATGCAGTCTGCACCGTCTTGGTCCAGCATTTAACACTCTGTTCACCACACAAGCACAAGAGTTCCCTCCCTGTATTTTGAGTTCGCAGTCACGTCACAATCCCTCCGTCCATCGCCCCGCTGTTTTCCACACCGTTGTCTCTCCTGAAGAGCACATCACTGGTGGTCTTTTTCAGTATGCCCGGCCGCACGGTCTCACCGGGCAGCGGGCTGCTGCCGGTGAGCGGCTGCGTGGCCGGCGGCCGCAGCTGGCGCAGCTCGATGGGCCCGCCCGGGTCGTACTCGGGCTCGTAGTGGGCGCCGGCGTGGCCGTGCGGCGCGCCGTCCGGCAGCCGGAGCAGATGGTTGGCGGCCGGGTGGTCGCACGCGGCGCGGCTGACGTCCGGCCGGCCGTCGCGCCAGCAGCGGCACCGCGAGGCGGCCGGCGGCGGCGGCAGCGAGGCCAGCGCGCGCCGTCAGCTGGCCGCCGACTCGGCCGCGTCCTCGGCCGCCGGCTGGCCGCGCTCCGGCAGCAGCTCGAGCGCGCGCGCCAGGCAGCCGGCCAGCGCCACCAGCTGCTCCTGCAGCAGGCTGCAGCAGACGGCGATCAGCGCCATACCGAGCAGCAGGTAGAGCGCCGCCGCCAGCTGAGACGAGCCCGGCGTCAGCTCGCCGAAACCGATCGTGCTCAGGCTGACGAAGCAGAAGAAGGCGCCGTCCATGTAGCTCCAGTCCTCCCAGAAGGTCAGCATGTAGCCGCCAGCCAGGATGTAGCCGATGATGATGGTGAGGCAGGCGCAGAAGGGCAGCAGCGGCGCGCGCGGCTCGGGCGGCGGCAGCAGCGGGCCGACCTCCTCCCACGGCCAGGGCGGCTCGCCGGCGCGCTTCAGTTCGCCGTCCAGGTGATTGAGCGACGTCTGGCCCAGCTCCGGGATCCGGTTGTGCAGCGACGGTGACTGCAGGCTGGCGGCCGCGGCCGGCCGGCGGCACACGCACGCGCCGCCGAACGCCAGCTTGAAGCAGCGCGCCATTATGTCCCCTGAGGATCGCACAGAGACGGGGGCGGGTGAGGCAGGGTTTACAAAGACGGGGCGAGGAGTTTACACTTTACAGAGACGGGCCGGGTGAGGCGGGTTTTTACAGAGACGGGGGCGGGTGAGGCGAGGGTTCACAGAGACGGGGGCGGGTGAAACGGGGGTGTACAGAGACGGGGGCGGGTGAGATGGGGTTCACAGAGACGGGGGCGGATGAGGCGGGGGTTCACAGAGACGGGGGCGGGTGGGGCGGGCTGATCGACGGGTAATAAACCGGACATACGATGGGCGGGTGACGGGTGAGAGCCGCGGCACCAGCGAACAACCGAACATTAGTCCTCCTGGGAGGAGCGTTCTAGCAATTTCGAATATAGGATTGATATTGATATGTAAGTACCAAGCACACCGTTACTACCAAACGGAATCCCTACGGACGGCTAGAGACGGAAATGCAATACAGACAAGGCAGCTTTTCCTTCTCAGGTTAAATTTTTAACCACCTTTCGAGTTTCGAACATTCTGGGACTTATTAATTAGGAACACAAATGGTATCTCAACGTAATTTAAAATGTAGGTTAACGGCGGACATCACCCATATACACTCAAACGTGAGATCGGGTCCTACCACCACGAAAAAGCGGCTATTCTATAGAACGGCTAACAGCCGTTCGCATCGGCTTTAGGACCACAAGCGATGGCCACACGCGGACCGTGGTTCCAATGCTGTTTGACGATCTCTTTGTTGGGCCTTTAGGCCTCAGACCGGTGAATTATTAGAAGGGCTTTTCTATTGCGTTGGAGCTTCCTACGAAATAAAAGATAAAACTTACGTATTGCCTATAAATTCCGTTGTTTCTCCTCAATGTAATTCTAGAAAATATTAGCGCTTATCGATTTACCTTAAAAATGATGTCTGACATAAAACGGACGAGAGCCAGTCACACTACCCGAGCAGCCAGCTGGCAGTGGCAAACGGCCCTGGGTTAGTTGTCGAACACTGGTGTGATGTTGTTTCACAGCGTTTTGCTCAGCTGTCTCTCCTGTTGTAGTCAGCCGGCCTGTCAGGTAGCTGCAGGAACACGACATTGCGGCCATCTACACGAATGTCTGACTACTAACAGGGCTGTCTGTTCAGGCATAGGTGCTGTCCGGGACAGCGACGCATTGGCCGATAAAACTGACAAGATGACCGGGCTTCGAATCTCCACATCCTATGAATAGATTTGCGACGCTCTGAATCTTCAATTCATGAAGACTACCTTTTATATGAGAGCTACGGCTTATGATATATATTAAAGGGACCCTCCCACCTTAACATTAGTTTTGAGTTGAGATTGCCAAATTGGTGGCCATGGCCTGCAAATACCGGTTTGGGCACTCACAACATCGAAAAATGCTTTAATTCGAAGATATGGAATTTCAAACTTGCAGTTTTCGGATTCTAAGGGGCTAATGCATTGGAATGCCCCCTTAGAATTTGTGACGTCAGCGGAGATCTAACTATTTTTAAATCTTAGACTAAAACCATCGTTAACATGTGGTGGTATACGCTGCTTTGCGCGCAACGTCTGCCGCATTTTAAGGCTGCCAAATTATTGCTTCCAAATAAAGTCGCTAGTAACAGGGGAGATCCCAAAAAGTAAACAAAAGTAAAAGCCTAATATCTTGAAAACCAGTGAATATTTTTCGGTGAAATTTGGTAGATATTCGTTTCCGCTCTTTCTGAACCAAGGGACATCACTTTTATGCCAATTCATTAACTTTTTTGAAGGTGGGAGGGTCCCTTTAAAAACGAATATAAAGAGCTTAGATAAATTAAGAAGTTAGTGACGATATCGAATTTCTCTCGTCAGATTCGTCCTCAAAATGCCATGTTCCATTGTTCCTACAGTTACCGTCTTTGTCCGATTCTTCGTCATGTTTAGAATACATATCCATGTAGCCATTTCGTTTCAACAAGCCAAATAAGGGTTGTATTGTAGCCTGTGACAGAATTGTGGCTGTGACTTAGTTGTAGTTGGCGGAACTCACCGACGTTCGACAGGTAGAGCAACATCAGTGGTATTCCCATGACCGCATAGGCAATCGTGAGCAGTTTTCCGGCGTCGGTCTTCGGGGAGCACGTGCCGTACCCTGAAACGGAAACAGTGGTTCAACGACAAAGGTCAAACGTATAGGTCTAACCGGTACCCACATACAACGGGTTGGAATAGCTAGGCACTGGACATCTGCACAGCGGATTGAGCATAAGCATAAGCACGCCGGTGGTTATTTTCATAATGGTAGGATTTGTGACGTGTACATATATCGGTAATAACTTTAAACGTTATGAAAAGGTATTTGTAATAAATAAGCTCGCGATTAACACAGAAACGTATTCAACTCAAGTCTGAATCTAAGGCAGGATTACATAGTCATCCAAATGAATTTGGATGGCGATGAAGCTCTGCTGGAGAAACACATTCAGTGAAATATACGGCCTTGTATTGAAGCCGCAGCCTGCTCCATCTGTTCAGGATTGACGCTGCTCTCGTCCAAGAGGTGCACTCTGACAATTAAAATAGCATGGGCGCTGCACAATGCATTTGCTGGAGTTGTGCGGTCGGCCGGGGGTATCGATCGGGCCAGCGCCGGCGCCGTCGGCTGCCCACACGGAACGGCAGCGGCGGCGGCGGGTCGGACCTCAGCTGCCACAGCGGAGCGCAGACCAGCGCGTCTCAGCTGCCACAACAAAGCGCAGATCAGCGCAAAGCAGCTACCACAGCGGAGCGCAGACCGGCGCAAAGCAGCTGCCACAGCGGAGCGCAGACCGGCGCAAAGCAGCTGCCACAGCGGAGCGCAGACCAGCGCGTCTCAGCTGCCACAACAAAGCGCAGATCAGCGCAAAGCAGCTACCACAGCGGAGCGCAGACCGGCGCAAAGCAGCTGCCACAACGGAGCGCAGACCGGCGCAAAGCAGCTGCCACAACGGAGCGCAGACCGGCGCAAAGCAGCTGCCACAACGGAGCACAGACCAGCGCAAAGCAGCTGCCACAGCGGAGCGCAGACCAGCGCAAAGCAGCTGCCACAGCGGAGCGCAGACCAGCGCGACGACAACGGTCCCAGGGGGCTCTATACTCTATAGCCTAGGGTCCCAGCAGGGCGGGCTTTTGGCCTAGGTAGCGAGTAAACGTCGTCTTCAGGGAATCAAAGCTGGTAAACCGCTCTGGCATCAGTGGATTACCTGCATTATTAACCAGGGACTTCCTGGGGCATTTCCAAGCCTCCTTTTAGTTTTCTTCAGATATTTTATATCAACAAACATCACACATAATTAGGTAATGCTAGAATTTTTCAACGGTGATGGTAATTGCTATGGTCTAAAACGCTACTTGGGTATGTAACTTGATAAAGGCGAACCCTGGCGGCTGGAAATTTTAGCCCTCGCCCGTATTGGTCTTTTTACAGCGTCTAACTTATAGGACGGGGGCGCAGACCCCCCCCGCCGTTCGGCCCCTGATCGAGCTAGAGCTTCGAGGCAATTTCACTCGACGCAATTTCTTACCGCAGTACGGGAAAATGGGTACATGAAATCTACAGATATGGGCCATTCATTGACATCCACACAATGCGCGCGTCGAGACAGTTTCTATCTAAACCTAGTTCCAGACAGACAATATTGCTGAAGACTGGCACTAAGTACTCTCACATCTGTGTGTGTCTGCAGTGGCGCTTTAGATCCGGGGCGCCGTACCGCTGTGACTGTATGTACAGGCGCCGAGCCGTGACTGTGCGGGCGCCGAGCCCTTTACATCTGGTTGTGTCTGGGTGCCTCCTACGTGCAGGCGCCCGCCATGCCCTCGGCATCTGTTTGTGTCTGAGGCGCCGTGCCATTGTGACTATGTTGGGCGACATGCATTCGTACATGTTTGTGTGCCTTCTCTGCGGGCTGCCGTGCCCCTCACACCTGTTTGTGCCTGTGGATTCTGATCTGATGTGTGGGCACAGTGCGCTTTATGTCTGTTAGTTTCTGGGCGCCTTATATGTGCGGGCGCCACCGTGCCCCTTACATCTGTTTGTGTCTGGGGCGCCCTATGTGCGGGCGCCCGCCGTGCCCCGGCGGCCGTCGCTCGTTGCCATCGGCGCTATCGATCTCTGTTGGCGCGGCGGAAGTGGCCGGCCGGCTCGGGCTCGCTCTCGGCCAGGACCATAGCTGCTGATCGGCCCAGTGACGAGCTATTGTTCGGCACGAGGCCGGCCCGGCCCGCATCGGACCGGACGGGCGCCGCCAGCACCGCCAGAGGGACGGATTTGACCGGCCGGTCGCACTACGGAGGAAATGGGATATCGCAGCCCTATGAGGCATCAACGGAATTTTGAAAAAGGAATGGCAGATATAATATAATTATATGAAAATTATAAAATGAGCCCTCGTCTTCGCAGAATAATAATCCCATTCCTAATATGCCCTCGCGCATGTAGGTTCGGCGTGATTTTGTCTTGTCGTTAGCCGCCCCATCAATTAGGCCTGTCATCCAAAGCTATTATCCAAGAATCAATTAGCTCTCGATTGATCAAATCCTGACAGGACGGCTATGTGTCTGTACATAACGGCCCCTCAGCGGCCACTGGCGTGACGTGCAATGCAACCGCACATGGGAACAATTTTATAAAGGGCGCAATTTAACCCGCGCACCGACGGGGGTCTGCGCCAACTTAGTACCGACGGGGGGGGGGGGCGGATGTCCGCCCCCCCCTGAGATCTCGAGAACGAAGCAAGATAGCGACAAGCGGTAAACGGCATCGGATACGCACGGTCAAGATCTACAATTTTTACTGAGGTCATTTTCAGGTCAGGTCAAAGATGACGTCACAGGGGTCGAAAAAGTCAAAATGGCGGCGCTAAATATGGAGAGAGTTTTTCTCGAATAACTTTCGAATTAGTCAATATAGGAACAAACTAAGGGCACCATCGTGATCCTCTCGTCAATCCGCATCGAATGATATATATGTTGACCTCGAAAGGTCAAGGTCAAAGGTTGACCTCAGGTCACGTGACCTCGAGGTCATCATGTATATCATTCGATGCGTCTTGACGAGCTGAACACAATGAGACCATCCACGCGTCTGTATCTTGTTCCTGTACGGAGTTATTGGCCAAAAACCTTTGGTGACCTTTGATGACGTCACATGACCTCACAGCTACCCAACAGCAAAACAGACCTCAAGGTAGTGAAGGTTGATCGTATATGAAGTCATGTATGGTATATGGGGCCATTCCGACCCGTTTTAGTGGTAAAAACAGGGAGTTGATTTTTCCCCCATTGACTTATAATGGGGAGGTCGCGAAATTGACCTGACCTTAGGTCACCGATATCAAAATTCCGAGATATACAAATTGTAGCTACTAATGACCTAATAACATCCTGCGACTTTCAAAGGCCTCCGACATCTACTGTAGCTCTGGCACGGTGACAAAGTTGCAAAAAAGTGACTTGAGGTTGGGTCATTCAAAGTGACCTGGTGACCTGACCTTGAAAGGTAGGAGGTTCAAACTTGCACACCATGTGTAAAATTGATAAGGGAATAGTCATACCAAATTTCGCGGCGCTACACGCCGCGGTTTTCCCGCTATTCGCGAAAAACCTCAGGGGGGGCGGATATCCGCCCCCCCCCCGTCGGTGCGCGGGTTAACAAGGGCGCGACTATAGCCAGAAAGGATGTGGTTTCTGAGAAGAGTTGGTATGATCGTCGGATCAATAGTGAACGATTGATCATCCACCCTTTTCATGGAAACCCTTTTTAGCTCCTCGCAGGCTTGGATTACTGATGTCGCTCGTTTCTCTGCCCATTTCGATCCGAGGGAGATCACACCCTGCAATAGGAACCTTGCGCCCATTGTAAAAAAACTTATTCGGTGTTATGCACGTTTGAATTTGCGACAGATTGGCCTCTCAGACACGTTTTATTGTCAACGAAACAAGCTGGGACACAAGTCCAGCATGGTCTAGGGCTGTCCCGAATGATAGCGGCAGACGCAAAACTGCAGGTCCATCCGCCCCGCGGTTTTCGCCCTGGAAGATACCAACGACTAGAAGAAACCAACGACAAAAGATACCAACGACTAGAAGATACCAACGACTGCAGCTGTACGTAGTCTGACAGGTCTGTCACAGAGCAACAGAACATCGACGCACACGGACAAAGAACAAGTTACTTTTCATTACAAAATGGCATATATCAAATGATATTACTTGCAGGGATGGCTTCGGAATACAATTGCACTGGCAACTAGACTGACTAGAGTTGGAATGTTAAATATTGAATGGAATGTTAAACAAACAAAAACTTATTCGACAGAGCTGCCGCCTGCATATTTTCCTACTAACTTAAGGATGAGTTCAGCGTTCTGCTACCGAACTCTGGATTTAGAGCAGACAGCTCCATCGAATTTGTGCTAGATACAGTTAAATGGAGTCATTATTTCGCAATTGGTGCTGGTAACCACTTTGTTATAGACGCTGCAGTCAATATAAGGCTGAAATAGCTTTTTAGTGCCAGGCATGGCTTTTTAGGGCGAAGTAAAATGGTGACCATCAATTATCTTATCGTTTACTGTCTTTATGTATGCTGAAGAAGCTGCTGCTCCTTTTTATATGGCTCAATCTGACTTCTGAGAGCCTTCTTCTTTTTAAGGTTTTGAGATGTAGAGGCTTTCTTCAATGCTATAAAGAATTTGTCTACCTATTATTACCCGATGTTTGGAATGTGAAGCTGCTAGATGGGTTACCTATTCAGTCATACGCGCCCTGCTGGGGGGGGGGGGGCAGATTTTGCCCCCCCCCCCCCCCGTCTAATTTCCGAACCGATGGTCGTAAAAAGACGAGGAGAACGGGTCAAAATAAAAAACGGCCAAAATCCAAAATAAAAAACGATACGTGCCCCATGCGTCGTTAACGACCTTATCGCCTGGAATTCCTCAGCAAACATATTTACATACCCAATGGGAAAGTTGAAGAGGGAAGCAGCATAACTTTCGTCAATCTTGGAAGTCTGCGCTTAGCCTTAGCTTGTGTCACGTAGCTCTTAGCATCCGTATCCATCCTGTGATAACTGCGTATTCAATATCCATGTCGTTGTAGGTATTTATATGCATGTGCTGACTTCACCTGTAATTGGATTTTTACCTGTTAGTAATTAATAAACCTTACAATAAAAAATGTAGCGGAGAAACGGGAGGTATGGGCCGGTTTTGTGAAAAGGCAATTTTCTTCCAGTGGGCAGTGGCTAAACCCTGTTTTCACTCTGTGTACGTGAAATTGCCTTTCACCTGCAAAATGTGGCTGGTATTAGGCATCTGGGATCAACTATTTTGTCTCGAGATAACTTTCAATAAATAATGCGCTTTTCGATCCATCAAAATACACCGGGAGGTATGGCCATGGCGCGCGAGGTATGGGCCGGTGCCATGTGTTTCATATTCTTTTCTCGATAATGAGAACAATACTCGTAGCTGGTATCTACCTTGATCTATCTTAACCCGCGCCCTGGTGGGGTCTGTTTATAACGCGACCTGGTGGGGGGGGGGGCTATTTTTTGCCCCCCCCCTCGTATCTCCGAAACTACTGGACGGATCCGCAAAATTCAAACGGCGTTCGAAAGGCCTGTCAAATTTGTCGACGGAAACCAAATTTTATTGACCTCGGGGTCACCGATGACGTCACAGGTCAGGTCAAAGATGAAATGTTTCACCGTTCACGGGTCTTCTAGGGAATGCGCTATAACACCGAGGAAAACGCATTTTGTCGGGAATCAGCGATAGGGCGTCAGTTGCCTAGTAGATATGTTGCTGTTAGAGGTCACTGGTCATACCAGGTCAGGTCACAGGTCAGGTCACCAAAGGTCACCAAGGGTCACCACATGAACCCAACTTTACTAAGGTTATGCGATGCATGTTTTATGGCCAGTTTTTCATTTCCAACTCAATGGTGTTGGTTATAAGACCATTAGGTACGGTTTAGGTCACTTTCTGGTGGAGGTCAGGTCAAGGTCAGGTCAAAAAAGGTCAAATTTCAAAGTTGATATTTTGCATAAAATGGGTATTGAATCGATGCAGCTCATCACGGGGAGTCTAATGGTGGTCTTTGTTTTGCGCTACGAGGTCTAGAATTGCTGAAAATTGAGTTTGAAAATTTGACGTCATCAATTTTGAACAGTTTTTTCGCTATAACTTGGCCAAAAAAAGAGGTATCGATCTCAAATTTGGTATGTAGATAGAAGGCGGTAGGGACTATCATATATATTCCGGTTTTTTTCGAAATTCAAAAAACTTTTTGGATTTTTTGGCTATTATATTCAAAAAATCTATTTTTTGATTTTTGGGGGTCAAAATCCAAAAATTTCAAAAATCCGAGATAGCAGTTTTGTAGTCCTGTCCATTCTACAGCTTTTATGTTTGTATCATTTTTCTGTATTTGCAAAGCTATAGGCCTGACAGCTCTTCCCGCGAAACCCTTTTTTGGGTCGAAAACGGCAGAACATGACGTCACTCTGACGTCATTTCCGGCCAACCTATCATAGCCTTTGGAAATTTTTTTGGTCACAATGTGTAAAATTGATGTCCGGGAGGGTACTGAAAGTTTGGTGACGATCGGCGCAGTGGTTCAGGAGATATATCGAAAAGTCTGGAGGGGGGGCAAAAAATAGCCCCCCCCACCAGGGCGCGGGTTAACCCGGCAGTTGCTGGGGTATTTCGCCACCCACCGTTTGCTGGGGGGGGGGGCGTTAAACGCCCCCAGCCGATAACTCGAGAACCAATAGGCGCAGCGAAACGCACGAGGCGGCAAACGAAAGAGCGCGACGAGACACTTCAGATGAGTACTTTAAAGTTGAATTTTGAGGTCACAGGTCGGGTCAAGGTCAGGTCAAACACCTGAAATCGGGCTTTCAGTAGCATGGACTTCGCAATGGGCGCCTCTCGCCATAAACTCTGTCAAAACGGTGCACAATCCATCTTATAAGGCCTACAAGAGTGTCAGCTCCATATAAGGGTCAGTCAAGCATAGGTCAGGGTCAAGGTCTGGTCAACCGGGTAGGCACATATTCCCGAAAATCAAAACTGATATTCGCAGCCTGTGACACATGTTTTATATGTAATTTGGGGCGTAGAACACGATGGTGACATTCATTTTATCATATGTGTACGTGTTTGACTCAAAAAGTTCAATTTAAGAAATTCATGTATCATGATCGTGAAGTAGTCACGAAAAATTGCCAAGATTCAGTTCAAGATTTTGGAAAATGCGGAACGATAATCAATAATCGAAGAGAGCCATTTGATTGATCATGGTATTGGCAGTCGAATGGCGTTTACGGCATGTCTGTATGTCTATTCTGTGATTTTATATGATTTTTTGAACATATGCCGTTTTTGGTCGAAAAGTCAAAAATCATGACGTCACTAAAACCTCGATATCTCAACAATTTTCCGACCGATTTTTTAAACTTTGGCACAATAAATTTTAATCAATTCCCTACAGGTACCCAAAATTTGGCGGGCCTGCGGCGCGCCGTTTTTATGCTATGGCCCGGCGAAAAAAAGTGGGGGCGTTTAACGCCCCCCCCCCCCCCCAGCAACTCGCGGGTTAAAGCCCAGTAACCGCATAAGCGGCCAACAGCTTAGGTACTTCATGGAGGTCACTTGGGCACATATGTATTTTGGTAAACTCAATCATGCTCCATGAAATAAGATAAATAATATTTTTATATTCGAATGAAATTTGGAGTTAAATTTTCGACCTTGCACGACAAAAATAAAACTTATTGAAGATTGCCTACACATGTTCAAGTTATATAGGTACCGTCGGTTGAGGCAGTGTGCTTGGTCATGAGCGGGCTAATGTTTCGACAGGTTGAAGTGCTCAAAATTTTCAAAAAAAAAAATGAAGTGATTGTCTTTTATATTCGTTGTGCTATGTGATTATCCTTTGAGTTTGCCTGCAAATGGATACATGTCTGTTGGCGATTTGATAAATAAATAAATAAATAAATGAATGAATGAGTAAATAAATAAATAAATAAATAAATAAATAAATAAAGTGCTCAAAAATGCATTCTGTTTCCAACATTGATCTTGGCAAAAATGTCGAACGATCATAAAAACAACTACGATGTGTATGCTACAACTACGTGTACAACTATGTGTACTCGTACAACTAAAACTACGCGCGCACAGACGGGGGGGGGGGCGGATATCCACCCCTCCTAAGGTTTTGCGTAAATAGCGGGGAAATCATGCCGCGCAATTCAGCGCTACTATTGTCTATTTCTTCATCATTTGACCTTCATCTTCATCAAATGACCCGACGTCAATTACTTCTTTTTGCAAATTAGTTGCCTCAGCAACAGAAGATGACATGACAGAGCACTTTCAAATTGCATGATGTAATCGTCATTGGTACCTACAATTTTTTAAATGCCATACTGCTGCGCTTACCTATGGTAGTGATGATGGTTAGGGAGTAGAGGAACGACCCGAAGAAGCTCCACTGCTCCGGGGGCGGTGCCGTGTGGTTCCGCTTGGAGGCCTGGATCAGATCTGCCTGGAACTTTTTCAGCTCGATGGCCATCAGGTGCGTCCAGTTCTCCTTGTGCAGCACGTTGAGCGCCACGGTGATGTTCCACAGTTTCTCGACGGTGCGCAGCCGGGACTGGGAGACCGAGTGGTGGACGGCGCTGATCTCGCTGTGCACTCGGTCCCGCTCGGCCGCCTCGTGACTGCCCTCCACGTGCGAGAACAGGAACGCGCCCATGACGATGTAGCCCAGGATGATGAGGCAGATGCCGAAGTTGGAGCAGATGGTGCCCCAGACGCGCTGGCAGCAGGTGGCGCAGCGACGCTGGCCGCGCGCCGGCCGCGCCGTCACCTCCTCGAAGGGAGTCATCTGACGGCCAGACTGGCAGGCGAGTCCGCAGCCGATGGCGCCGCGCCCAGCCGGAACTGCTGAGGCATCCGGCGGCAGCTGGTGGAAATGGCCGCTGGAAACGGAAAACAAGGAAAATTGGTCAGATTTATTTGCGATCCTCGGTCATTTCATCGGTTATCCAGCCTGATACTGACAATCTAAGACTTCCAAACAAATGCGAGTAAAAAAGTCACCAACAGCTAGCACTCTGAATGAAAGTGCGACATCTGGGTGGGACGATGCAATGGGTGGCTTTGCGAGCAAAGTGCACATTGCTTCGGCGCAGACATGGTGCATCACTCGATTTTGGTTGATATAGCTAGCCTTGCCTATACAATGTAGGTAGGGTAACCCTATGCCAAAAATAGCAGTTAGCACATCAATGAGCCACGATTCTGTGAATAACTATCGGGTGATCATTTTTGAATGATACAAAAAGAAAGTCGCCACGTGCAAAGATAGGACAAGATATTTTGATTTCACGTGCTGGTTTACAAGAAGGACATTTGGACATTTTGTTTTTTATCAACATTGTCCAAGTCCGTCCTAAGGTACGGTAAATATCATCCGTTTTTATAGCATACCCTTTTTGGACATCTTAGTGTAACGATGCAATATCTCAGCTGGATGGCTTTGCAGCACAACAGATTTTAGTTCATGGCGCATGTGCAAAGGCAATAGCACGGTTATACGGGCCTCCTGGAACCTGCAAAGGATCTTGGAGTGCACGAAGACACTAAGAATAACAAAAATTCCGAAGTGGACATTGCTTATGGAAGTGCGTTCGAGTGCACTGATTTGGCGGACCCGGGGACGGTACGGCCTTCTAGAGAATGCTGTAACCTGTCGTTTGGCCGGCTTTGTATGACTAATTCACGCGTCTCCGACACTCTTTTCAACAAGAGTGTGCTTCTCCACACACATCCGCGCCTGTCATTGAGTTCCCGTGCCCCAAAGCTGGTAAGCCTGCAGCTTGCGAATAAGCGAGCACGACCGCCCGTCTTACAGCCCGGACTTCTCGTGACTGTACTTGAGTGTCTGGCCTCACCTAATGACAGGTGTGGTCAGATGTGAGCCAAAGACAATTGCACATCTAATAGTGGTAGAAGGATACTTTACCTGGAGCATGGGACGGCGGCGATAATCAGCAGAAAATGGTCAGACAAACCCGGCATCGAGCGGAGCTCAGCTGGTCGGCGGTCCGCGAGGGGTGCATACTTTGGGCACCTCCTCTAAGCTGGCTATTGACATTAATGACTGACTGTGTGTTCCAGATAAAATGTCCCACCGTACGTGTTCGATGGGTGTGTTTGGTTTAACTATCCAGCTTAACACATGGCTGATATTAACAAATGTTTTTGTATCATTCAAAAATGATCACCCGGTACAAATGAAAACAGCCGGCCCTAATTGCAAGATATACGAGAATTTGATCATTCACAAGGGCCTCGTAAAGTATTTGTACACTAGGGAGCAGAGTAAAGCATAAATCACTTCGGCCCGTAAATGAAAGAGGTCGAAATAATTGCTACGGTTTAGCATCAATAAGTGTCAGCGCCCAAACCTTTGGTTGACCTCGACACATGAAAGGTCGGTTATGAGGGATTCGTACCCGCTGATCACGAATCTGGCATCTATTTTCCTCTAAGTCTTCATTTAGAGCCTCCGGATGGCAAAATCGTCTTATTTATTATTACTTACTTGAATCAGTGAAATAGCCTATAGTAAGGATACCTAGGTACTCTTCTGTGACCTTGACCTTTGAGCAGCCTTTTATCGTAAGATGAAGAACAAATAGGGACTTGATAAGCCTCAAAACATTTCAAAACACCTTGGAAGTTATCACGCAAGGTGTACGAAAAAGTGCAAAGTTTGAGATCATTTTTTAGCATGACCTTGACCTTTGATTTTGAACACATTTTCAGAATCCTTAGATTCTCTTCTTTTGTTTGACACCCAATTTTGCCGGTTTGAAGCATCCTGCCGTCCTCTAGAACGCTTACTTTGAGATCTTTACACATGTGCCGGTTTTTGCCTTTGACCTAGACCTCTGACTTTGAAAATTAACCTGAGGTCAAAAATTTTAGGTGCTTTAGAATCGTATCGTAAGGACCTTCCGTTTGGTAGGTATCGCTTTTGTTTCCGTAGCTCCCTTATTTACGGAGTTAGACCGAGGGGGTATGACCCCCCCCCCTCGGCTGCATTGGTTGGGACTACCACCCGGGCCCGTCCGGGTTAAGTCTGCAACTGCGCACTCAGCAAACAAAATATGACCAACGCGTTATGATCCATATCAACACTTGTCCATAGTCATTCGATCAAACGGGTTAGTTAGGGCTACACCGCTTCAGCCTCAAGTTTATAGAAAACGACATCCTCAGAAGTGCCGTTCAACATGCATAGGAGCGTGTCGTCATTCACGTCCTCCTCCCCTTTTGTTTTCATGTATTTCATTTATGGGCTGTATCAAGTCCCCCATAGACTATCAAGTGGTCGCGGAGCCATCAACGAAATGAGTGCGTTGTCTCAACCCGTTATTGCAAATTATTTTCACGTCAAGTCCTGTCTTACTGGACGCCTACCAGCCACATTCCTACGTCCTGCTTACCTGAGTTGGTCGGTCAGCACCAGGTTTAGCGCCCGCCGGCCTGTCGTGCGGCCGCCGCGCTCCGCCTCGGTCGGCACTGCGCCGCTGCGCCGCCGGACCGATATCGACGAGCCCGGACCGGCGCGCGACGGCACCGACGGCGCGGCAAACAGAACGGGTGTGGGCAGGCGCGTGGCACCGTGTCGCCAGCCAGCCCGGCTCAGTCGGAACGACTTCTGAGCCACAGCGGGAATTCGTAAAGCGTTAGCAGCTGTTGCATGGCTATCGATGAGAAACAAACTGGTCACATCGGGTACAAAAGTCCCGCCGAATTAAACCTCGCCGGTATTGATGCTTTCCCAGCATATTTTGCCCGTGACGAGAGGAAGCCGATGATACCCAATTTTAAGGTCCTAGGTCATTGGTTGACCTTCCAGGTCAGGTCAATGACCCAAATGTCGGGAAAATCGGGACCTGTTAGAACGTCGTAAAATGTGGCGGTGGCTGCTAAGGAGTTTTTCGGGGTGCTTATCACGAATATCATATTATTTTTTATCACAGATGATGTCTTCATCTATAAGGCCAGGTCGGGTCAGGTCAGGTCAGGTCAACCAGTAGGGGTCCTGCCGGGTATTCGTAGTAAGTGTCAACCACCTCTGACAGCTACGTAACATGTTACGAAGGCACCAAACTACTTCGCAAATGTTCATATGGTTTTTAAATTCGAATTTAGCTAAAAAAATTGGCCTAGAAAAATGTCAAACTCGAAAAAGTGAACCGAGATCATCAAAGGTCAATGACCTGACCTGACCTTTAGGTGACCTTGACACCCACCCTAATGCATCGGACCAACATCATTTCACATGTTTGAACGGTTGAAACCACGAAAAGACTGCAAACGCGAGGCTAATGCGAGCCGACATAGGTACGCCGAATCGCGATTCCTGCCAAACATATGGTCTCGAAAAGTAGGTCACAGGTCACATTTTCAGGGTAGGTGTAAACTTGATCAACTCGAGGGTACTGAAAGTTCCGTCCCGATCGGCCGCTTTTTACGAGAGTTATTCGCGAAAAAACGAGGGGGTCCGTTCGCCACCCCCCTAAACGGTCGAGGGTTAAATAGAAATTACGAACAATTCCACGATAGATTGACCGAAGACGTACACACTCATACGCCATTTTTTGCTTAAAATCGGTCGAATCGGTGGTCATGGGCGGGGAAGCCAGCTGTGGCCAGGCATTTTTTCTTCGAACAACGGTTTCCGAGATATAGCCTCGGGAAATTCCTGAAGGTCACGCTGCAGCCCTATGTTTGGCCGTTTATAACTCAGAAACTTTCGGTTTTCTATGAGGACAACTGAATATCTTTCAACTCGCAATCAACTAGAACATTTTGGCTATCTCCGATTTTCAATTTGTGAAAATTGAAAAATTTTGATCACGTGACCTCTTGACATACCTTTTGACCAGCGTTGCCAGACCTTGAGACTCATCCAAAGATCTTGGGATATTGCCCCTCAGCTTGGGATCTTGGGATTTTGAACCCTGACCTTGGGATTTGAGCCAAACCTAATATAAATTACTTTTTCATGAATATAAAGTTTTTGAAGACAACTGAAGCAATAATTAAAACATAAAGGGCTCTGTTGTAGTATGCATGTGTGTGTAAGAGGTGTGGCTGGGGGCTGTTACAGTTGGGGCTGGGCAGGGGGAGACCGCCGAGCCGCCGCGCCGGCTGGATGATATGTGAATTGATGCCGCAGGCTCCGAAAGCCGCCGTCCGGCGCCGGCGGGTGAGCTCATGAGCTGGCGGCACGGAAGCAAGAGTCCTGCTCAAGTGCTCTGCGGCCGCCACGGATCCCGCGGCAAAAAAGGCGGAGCCTAATCGGTGCGCCTGAACGCATCCGCGGCTGCGGCTGCCAACTACGGCGCAGATTATTTGAATGAAAATGCCGATTGAACTTTTTTAGTGAAATGGCTTAGTGAAATAAACGACTACATCGCTTCAGTTAGAACCATTTTCCATAAGTATTTTATTACTTTCTCACCAAACGAAATCATCATACAAAAATCATCATACGTGTACGTACATCATCAACCTACAAAAAGAGAAAAATGCGAAATGTTTTGTATCACGCGCGCCGTTTATGTCGAAATTTCTCTGCGGGAGCCGCAGAAAGAGCTCTGCATTACCCAGAATGCTGCTCTCCCCTCATTGGCCGCGGGCCCCATGCTTGCATATTGCTGTCTGGCAGGTTCCTCGCATTCCTATCAGTGGCGCAGCCAGAACTCTGGCGACGGGGGTGAGAGACGTTCGCGATGGGCCCCCCAGCAAAGTGGGTCCCCCTCAACCAAATGGTAGCCCCTTACCAACAACGAAAACGGTCGCTGTTTTGCCGAGTGTTTTTGGAAAATTACAAAAGAATTTGAAGAATCGTTGAATATGAATTCTCATTTTAAACTTTGTTAACAATCTGATCTGTGGTCAGGTCAGATCTTTGTCCTCATCATTACCACTTACCTACCAGCCAAATCGGGGACAAAGACAAATATCTCTTGATCTGAAGAGGAACGTCAAAAACAACAGCATATTTACAGAAACACGATCATTCTGCCCATATTTGATGGACAGCGTGCAATTGATGGCCATCGGCCACTCAAAGGGTCGGGCTAGGTCAAAAAGCTTTTAAAAAAGCTCAACATCAGTTTTTCGACAATTACTAGGGTTGACTATTAAGTAATGGAAGTGCCTTAAAGGGACTATCCCACCTTCTAAAATGTTGTTAAAACCAGTTAAATTGTGCCCGACTTTATAGATTGGATGACCAGGAACACGGTTCTGGCATTTATTTTTCATTTAACATCTTAGGCTTCCCATATTCCAAACACAAACTTTCAAATATGTGACGTCACAGCCCAAAATTGCCTCCTTCCCCAGGCCACATTACTGTCATAAAGCTGATTCTTTTTACTCTGTAGGCACCACAACAAAGTTCAGACCAAGTTTTAAGCGATTTTTCAACGAACAAACCCATTTAAATCAGAATGACTAAACGAGGTGACGTCACACTAACGGTCGCTCCATGTTGAAGATAGGGCCTTGTACAAGGCCCATTTTCAAATGAAGGGAACGAATTTCTTCAACACCAAGAGGTCGCGGGGGTTGCAACCTAGAAAGATAGTGGTTTCTGAACCTCGCCGCAAACTTGGCTATCTCAACTCAAACCCCATGTTAAAGGTGGGATAGTCCCTTTAAGAAATTAAACGTTATTGCACGTGCACATATTTTTTTGGGGTCATTTCATACGCTGATGTTTTTTCTATCCAATGGTGAAGACCACATGTCCTTAGCTACTTCTTTCTCCAAGCTATCGTCGTTTTCCCAAGAGACCACCCGAACCTGCGGCGCACCATGAAAAAGGAGTCCGGCAATGGCCAAAATCGCGCGCCAAGCGTCAGCGCGAGGTCATCAGAGCTGATTGGCTTATTGTTATGGCTACACAATGGACAATTGCTATTTTCATAAAAAAAAAATACACATAGGCACGATAAATGACAGCATACACTACTCCACATAATCGCCTTCAAGCATCACACACCGTTCCAGCCTCGTCTTGACCCACTCCTGGAACGCCGCCAGAAGACTGATCGGCGCTTTCTTTCTCAAACCGATGAAACCACCGACATATCGTCGGTGGGGAGGCTGCGTCGCTCCACACACTTAAAAAAGAAATTTTCTTATCTTCAGGTAGGCCTTTTCCCTACGACAAACTGAGCTCTAATGACCTTGCACTCGGCGCTGGCGCGCGGTTTTGGCAGGGACGTCGACACCGGTCCGACTTTTCCGACTAGTCGGACCACTTTTTCGACTAGGCGATGCCCTGCTGTGGCTCGCGGGGGCCCTGCTGCGACCGCGGGAGCCCCTGCTGTGGCCGCGGGGGCCCCTGTTGGGGCTCTCAGGGGCCCAGCTGCGGCCACGGGGGCCCCTGCTGCGGCTCGCGGGGGCCCCCGTTGGGGCTCTAGGGGGCCCAGCTGCGGCCACGGGGGCCCCTGCTGCGGCCACGGGGGCCCCGCTGCGCCTCGCGGGGCCCTGCTGCGGCTCGGCCCCCCCTGCTACAGAATGCGGGGGCCCTGCTGCGCCTCTGGGGCCGTGCTAGACACCGCGGGGGGGCTGCTGCGGCCCGCGGGGGCCCCTTCTGCGGCTTGCGGGGGCCCTGCTGCGACCCGCGGGTGCCCTGCTGCGACTACGGGGCCCCTGGTGCGGCCACGGGGGTCCCTGCTGCGGCCACGGGGGCCCCTGCTATAGAATTCGGGGGCGGCGGGGCCCTGCTGCGCCTCTGGGGCCCTGCTAAACACCGCGGGGGCCTGCTGCGGCCCGCGGGGGCCCTGCTGCAGCCCGCGGGGCCCTGCTGCGGCCGCGGGGGCCCTGTTGGGGCTCTCGAGGGCCCTGCTGCGGCCATGGGGGGCCCGCTGCGGCTCGCGGGGGCCCTGCTGCGGCTCGGGGGGGGGGGGCCCTGCTACAGAATGCGGGGCCCCTGTTGCGCCTCTGGGGCCCTGCTAGACACCGCGGGAGCCCCTGCTGCGGCTGCGGGGGCCCCTGTTGGGGCTCTCGGGGCCCTGCTGCGGCCACGGGGGGCCCCTCCTGCGGCCACGGGGGGTCCCCGCTGCGGCTCTCGGGGCCCTGCTGCGGCTCGCGGGGCCCTTCTGTAGCTTGAAAGGGCCCTGCTGCGGCTCTCGGGGGCCCTGCTACGGCTCGGGGCCCATGCTGTAGAATGCGGGCCCTACTGCGGCTCGGGGGGCCCTGCTGGGGCTCGCGGGGCCCTGCAGCCCGCGGGGGCCCTGCTGCGGCCGCGGGAGCCCCTGCAGCGGCCACGGGGGCCCCCTGTTGGGGCTCTCGGGGCCCAGCTGCGGCCACGGGGGCCCCTGCTGCGGATCGCGGGGGCCCTTCTACAGACCTTGGGGCCCTTCTGTAGCTTGAGGGTGCCCTGCTTCGGCACGTGAGGCCCTGCCTCGCCACGTTTGGGCCCATGGTTCGCCAGGGCCCTTCTGCGGCCCGTGGGGCCCCTAGTCTTGCAGACCGCGGGGCCCTACTGTGGCTGGCGGGGAACCTGCTGCAGACCGCGTGAGGCCCTACTGCGACCCGCAAGGACCCTGTTGTAGCCCGCGAGGCAAAACTGCAACTGAAGGGGCCCCCTGCTACGGCTCACGGGGGCCCTGCTGTAGGGGGAGGG